TTTTTGAGTGTATAGCGAATATGACAACGCACACAGAACACACACACACACACACACACACACAACAGATTCTCCTTGGCCTGGTGAAGCTCAACCAAGATTGCAAGTACAGACCCTTCAAGGCCGGTCTGGTTGGCCCAACGGTGCACCAAAAACTGCGGCAACATTTTTCGGGGGTCCACCAGGCACTGGCAAATCGCCTGGGGACCCCAAATTTTCTTTTCAATTTTTTTCGAAATGGGGCCCAACCGGACCCCTCAAACCGGACAGGATCCGGACATCCAGACCGGACCGTCTGGATCCCGATCCAGACGTCCGGTTGACAACTTATTTCACTAACGAAACCTTGAGTACAACTTGAGATATTATTCCAATACTGACGAACTAAATCTCGAAACCCCGAAGTATATCGAGACCTCGAATACACCTCGGGATATAGCTTCAAATTGACTAGGTAAATCATGAAATCCCAAAAAATATTTTCGCTGCTGAAACCCCTTTTTTTTTCCCCGAATACACCTCGGGGTAAAATGTTAGAAATAGCTAAGTACATCCCAGAATCCGGAAGTGTATTTTCGCTAAGGAAGAGCCACGAGTACACCTTGGGATATAATTCCTATATTGACTGAGCGAATCTCGAAATCTCGAAGTCCTGAAAACTCAAAATTTCGAAGTGTATTTTCGCTAATGAAACCTGAAAAACACCTCGAGATGTAGCTCCAAAACTGACTTAAATAAATCCCGAAGTGTATTTTCCATGGTTGCCCCGGACCCGGACAACCGGATGACTGGACACGGACACCGGATCCGTGTCTGGATCAAACCGGACGTCCGGTTAACCGGACATCAAACCGGACATCCAGACATCCGGAACCGGACAGTCCGGTTTGCTGTGTCAGTGCCCAGTTGTCCGGATTATTAGGAAAAAAACAAAAAAAACCTACTCTCTGGTGGCATCTGGCCTTCCAGTTTACCCACAACACTGTTCTTCTGATCAGGCCTACTAAACTCCAGTCTTTTAGATTAACTACATGGGATATCCATGGCTTTTAGTAAGAAGAAAGGATCCGTAGGAAAGGATTCCTCTGACATGCTCTTCCATACTTTGATGAACTTGTCCCAGATTTGTTCCGTGTGCTGGCATTGGAGGATGAAGTGAGCAACTATTTTCCTTTCTCAGGTTGCACATTTTTCAGAGCTTAGAGTCCTCTGTTCGGAGTGCGTCTTTCCTTGCCACTACCAGCCACCCATTTCTTGGAGGTCAAGGGAGCTATCTACCCGGGTTCTTCATTGTCAGCTATAGCTTACCAAGATCAATTGCCAGAAACAAAAATGAATGTGCGCGGCTCCAGGCCTTCGGAGGCACAAACCGTATTCCGTGGAAGCAGGTAATCACAATGTGGACAAGTATCTGAGTATTTCACTACGACCGGCGATGGGCTATGAAGGATGGGACCTACTTGTCACTCTTTGAAGAAACTAGCACAATTTTCCCATGCGACCCCTACGGATTGTGTAAGTATATGGTGCAAACGACTGGACTTCGTTGACATGGAACTGGTTTTGCCGTTGTTGCAGTGTCAGCTATATGTGGGCTTGCCCTGGGCCCCACCGTTGCTGCTCCACGTTAGAGCAGCAAGTTGGTAGGGATGTGCTAAGTGTGTGCCTGTCAACCGTGAGAATCACTACATTGGAGTGATGTTTAGGTCCACGTGAAGATGAGAGTCCCTGACAATACAACGACAGGTTCACGGGTCAAGCCCAGTAGGACTCAAAGCTAGTAAATAACACATACAAACTGTAGGTCACGGGATCAAGTCCCACAGGGCTCAGACTAGGGGAACAGCAGACAAACTTAACTGCAATTCATTGCACCCCAACCAACATGGGTGCGCGGCCTGGGGGCCTGAAGCAACCGTCAGGCCCCAAACAAGGCCCTGTCTAGAGGCCGCAGCATGCTACACACACACACACACACACACACAGAGAGAGAGAGAGAGAGAGAGAGAGAGAGAGAACACCTCCAACATTGAGAGCTTCAGGTATCCATCTCTCCCTTCCTCCTCTGTTGGCCATGGGCAAAGGAAAGAAAGGATCCCTGACAGTGGCCAGGGATCATTCCAAACTGGCTCATGATGACGTTGCTGTAGACAAGGAGAATCAGGGATGCTTGCCAGTGTTTATATGCAGTCATCCTATCTGTTGTAAGCGAGGGGGTGCCACCCTCTCTGTATGGCTGAGGACTCAACTAGTGAATGGTGTGATCCTCATGTTGCTCACCTACCATGCGCATGCCCATGGCCAACAGAGGAGGAAGGGAGAGATGGATACCTGAAGCTCTCAATGTTGGAGGTGTTCTCTCTCTCTCTCTCTCTCTCTCTCTCTCTCTGTGTGTGTGTGTGTGTGTGTGTGTAGCATGCTGCGGCCTCTAGACAGGGCCTTGTTTGGGGCCTGACGGTTGCTTCAGGCCCCCAGGCCGCGCACCCATGTTGGTTGGGGTGCAATGAATTGCAGTTAAGTTTGTCTGCTGTTCCCCTAGTCTGAGCCCTGTGGGACTTGATCCCGTGACCTACAGTTTGTATGTGTTATTTACTAGCTTTGAGTCCTACTGGGCTTGACCCGTGAACCTGTCGCTAGTAGTCTCTATTTGGCAGTCTTAGGCCCTTCAGCCTTGCTGTTTTGTCCTTTTCTGGTCTTCTAGAAACTTGTAGGCCCGTAGGTCTCCCTTGTGTGCTTAGGCCCTTCAGCCTTGTTGTTTTGTCCTTTTCTGGTCTTCTAGAAACTGGTAGGCCCGTAGGTCTCCCTTGTGTGTCTTAGTCTTGGGTCCCCTTAGTCTAGGTTCCCTTCTAGATGCAGGTAGGCAGATCTTGACTGTTTGGCCGTAGATGTGTGCTGTTTGGACGGTCAGATAGGTTTGTAACTTTGTAGGTGACTGCTGTGTTGTAGGTCTAGGGAAGTCCGGTAGAAGTAGGCAGAGGCCGACAAGTTTCAGATTCTTCTTCTTCTTTTTTGGAAGTGGTGACGAGGGTTACGGGAGCTGCGCTATTTTTCAGTGCTCTGTCTGTGGGCTGCTATAGCTGGGGCACCCTACTACTTGGGGAGGCAGCGCCTGTGGAAGGTCTTCCAGGTGCTGGTGCCACAACTGTCCTGCTGCTGTTTGGGAGGTTTGAAGCTTGTTGCTGCTTCATCAGCAAAGGGGCAACTGCTTGGTTGCAGCCACAGCTGGCGACCATCTGCTTCTTCTTCGAGGTTCATCTTCTTCTTCACGGTGGCTTGTGGCGCTGCTGTTTGATGTCTGGCTCATGCGGGATCAGCGCCTGTACTCACAGGGTCAGGGCATGATGGGATGCTGTTTTCAACAGTGGGCTATCATTCGAGGCCGGGGGTGGTAGGGAGAAGGGGGAGTTTCACTGAACTTCGTTGAATTGTATTGTTGGGGGTTAATTGGAGATGGAACAGATTTCGTGGTTGAGATTCTTGGAGTTGTTCGGTTGAGAGGAGGAGAGCAGGGGGTGTAATAAATAATTGATTGAAACATTTTTCAGATCTTTTCTCTCAGTTTCTATATCTAGTTTTGGCTTCTGCTGTGCAATATCTCTCCGTGGCTATGGTGTGAATCTGCTCTCTCCAGTCTTCCTGTCATTGCAGATGTGTACGGCTTGAGTTGAGGGTCGTGACTCGCAAATTGCAGGCAGGCCACCGGACCGGCGTTCTTCATGCGGGATTTATTATTTTTCAGACGGTATTCGACGGTGAACTCTCAGCACCGCTGATTAGAAGTTTCAGCAAATTTTCATCTGGGCGCTGACTCGGAAAACTCAGCCAAGCCATGGAAGTGCAGTCTGTGTTGACTGGCGATCAAGACTTTACCACGTGAGTTCGTTCCGGAGACCAGGTTTATCCTGTTATCAGTCCATCCTGCAGTCTCTTGCAGCCCAGCTATGGCTGGTCCTGACGTTCTTTCACAATCTAGTTGCTAAAGCTCAGAATAAGCAGTCAAATTTCCTCTGACAAGGACTCTTTGACTTGCCCTGGGGTTCCTTAAATTCTTTGACCTATCCCCTGTTCAGCTGGTAGGGACTACCTTACGGAGTCTTCCAGTTTTGGCCTTGCCCTACCAGGTCCCAGGCAGTCTGGCCGGGCCTGACCCTTGACCTTATGAGGCTTTCCCGCGTTGGGCCGGAACCCAGGGCCTCCCGCTCTTCCCTATCTGCGCATTTTCTTGATCTTCTTTTTCTGCTTGGTTTTGTTTTCTGGTGCCTAGGATGTCTTTTGTTTTATTATTTTTGGTTACTTGGGGCCCATGGCCTTTGCAATCACGCTTTGGAAGCTGTTCATCCCCCCTCCCTCAAATTACTTAAGGTACTTAAGGTATGCCTCTGTGTAGCACACCGAACATGTTCGGAGCTTTTCCGAACGTCCGAACATGTTCGGTTGTTCGGCCGAACGCCTCCCGAACATGTTCGGCTGAACATATTAAAAAAATAATAATAATAAATAAATAAATTTTGGTTTTTGATTTTTAACTCGAGTTTGGTTACGAACTTGAGCATACCTCCAAGGCAAAAGTTGTTTGTATTATTATTTTACATAACATATATTTTTTCTTTCTGATTTTTCTGAGAATTTTTGTTTTCTTTTTATTTATATTTTTATGTTCGCGTAAAGCTATTCTAAAAAAGCATATATACATTGCTCAATTTGTGAAAGAATATCTATCTTATCTCTATTCTAATCATTTCAAAAATGAACGTTCGGGCTCGGTCAACGAACCCGAAAACGATGCTACACAGGTATGCCATGCCTGTGTAATCATCTTTTTCTTTCTGTTGAATGCTGGAGTTTTTCGTAGCAATACTCTGCCCACACGAGAACAAGAGGATGACTGTTTTCTGTGTAGTTGCATGGAGTAGTTGTCCACTAAACAACCTGCTGGGTCTGCTTTTTGTGTTTTGCTGGTTTGTTTTATTTTGTTTCTTGCCTTTTCAATGGACCTGCAGTTGGTCAAGACTGGACTGTTGGTTCTCAAGATGCAGCGAGAGTTCATTGATGTTGGTGGGTTTGGATGGCTTTTAGGAAACGATACATCCATGCTGAGGGAAATAGTACCGAATGTCCAAGCTCTAATGGTAGGTACTCTTTGCTACAGTGTGACAGCTCTCTGTCCTCTCCCTCTTGCCCAATCTTTACTGTATATTTTTTTCATACTTGCGGCACACCTGTGTGGGGCAGGAGAGTTTATTGATAATACTTGGTTTGTACGACTTTTAGGAAACGATACATCCGTGCTGAGGGAAATAGTCCCGAATGTCCAAGCTGCAATGGTATGTACTCTTTGCTAGTGTGACAGCTCTCCGTCCTCTCCTTCCCTCTTGCCTGCTCTTTATTGTATTTTTTTTTCATACTTGTGGCGCACCTGCATGGTGCGATGTACGGAGCGTGCATAGGTTGCCTAATGCGTGCGCACCGCACACAAGGTGAGGTGTGCTGGGGTGCGCGTCACTGCACCTTGTGCACGTGCAGCGGTACATCCCTCATTTTTTCTTTGGTGTGTGTGTGTGTGGAGAGAGAGAGAGAGAGAGAGAGAGAGAGAGAGAGAGAGAGAGAGAGAGAGAGAGAGAGAGAGAGAGAGAGAGAGAGAGANAGAGAGAGAGAGAGAGAGAGAGAGAGACGTTCGACTTCAACACCTCTCAAGTCATTTCACAGAGTTGAACTACAGTCGAGTTCAACAGGGTCTTCTTTCCCCGCCGATTCTTCCAAGCCAGTTCCCTTGGCTGTAGTTTTGCAGGATGGTAGATAGGGACAGTGGGAATCTCGTTAATCCATTCATGCACGCCACTAATTAGCTGATGACATTGATGAGGCATTTGGCTACCTTAAGAGAGTCATAGTTACTCCCGCCGTTTACCCGCGCTTGCTTGAATCTCTTCACTTTGACATTCAAAGCACTGGGCAGAAATCACATTGGGTGTTGGTGGTGCATGCTGACGTCAAATGCACGCCAGCCACGACACGAATTCAGGGCATACTCATACTAGCCCTTTCCTCAATGTATCAGACAGCAGTTATGGCCAGACGTCGGCGAATCTTACCGCAATCACGTCCAGAGCTTAGTAGGAAAGTCTGAATGAGAGTATGTCATACACTCAGACTTTTTCTACGTCAGCGAATCTTACCGCAATCACCTCCAGAGTGTAGTAGAAAAAGTCTGCATGTGAGTATGTGATACACTCAGACTTTTTCTACTAAGCTATGAACGTGATTGTGGTCAGATTCATCCAGGTCTGGCCTTAATTGCAGTCAGATACATTTCGGGAAGTGCTAGCACCAGGCCTCAGGTAAGCACGTAACATATCTCTGGATCCTCTTTTCTCTTTTGTTTTTTTGAAGAATCGTTGGACCATTTCTCGATTTATGTGCATCATCCTTGTGCAGAGACGGGAAGAACATTGACAAGCCTATTACTGTTCATATTTCCCGTACCCCCCCCAAACCATGGTTACTCGTTGCCGCTCATAAGCGCACTACAGTCAAATGATGTTGGCACTGCAGAAGGGCTAATCTTCTCTTCATCCATCTTCGTTTGCGCAAGGGCCATGCTAATATTCTCTGTGGGCATGCTCACACTAGGACTTTCCTGGATGTATCTAACTGCAATTCCCACCCATCGTGCATGTATATGATCATAATTACATCCAGAGAGGAGTCACGAAAGTCCTAGTGTGAGTACGCTCTGTATCGTTCAAATTTCCAAGGACGTCCCAGTAGCTTCGAGTGCATCTCTGAATGAATATAACAGACCTTTCAGGTCTGATACAGTCATAATGAGGTTTTCTTGTGCTCTAGCGAGCGGGACTGTTAGAGCCAGAGCACAACGAAACCTCATTATGACTGTATGACACCTGAAAGGTAAAACTTAGAATCTATTCAGAATCTGAAAGATGAAGGGTTTGGACGCCGGTTGGGACTAAGGCTGGCAGGCGTGGATACTTGGGGTTGACATTGGAAGAGGAGGTTGAAAGGAGAAGGGGCGAGCAAGCGCAAGTGAAGGGTGACACACCTGCATCTTCTTCAAGCGACATGGAGCTGCGTTAAGACTTGAGTGAAGTGCATCTTCCCCTGCCCTTGTCGTTTTGCCAATTTTGCTTTTGTTTCATATAAATGCCTTCGAACCTTCCCAATCAAATGCTTCGAGAATCGAGACACAATTTATGTTGGCGTCAGTTCGGTCGCAATTTGTGTTCACGCCAGTTGCGTCTACAATATTGGCGTCGTTGAGTCTCTTGGAGTTTCTGGATGCTGTTGGTTGACCCGATAGCTGGACTGCAACCATGTAAAGTAGAGAGTGCAGTCATGAGCGGCAGGCGCTCGTAAAACAACTTGTCTGAACCTAATACCGGTACTGGCCGGCGCACGATTGAACAGTGTACGCGCAGTGAGGGGTCTGTAGGTCGTTAGTGGATATTGTTGGTTGACCTGATAGCTGGACTGCAACCATGTAAAGTAGAGAGTGTGCGCATGAGCGGCAGACGCTCGGAAAACAACTTGTCTAACCCTAAAACCGGTACTGGCAGGTGCACGATTGAATCGTGGAAGCGCAGTGAGGGGTCTGTAGGTCGTTAGTGTAGGGGCTCGGCAGCTGGACTGTGACTGCCTAAAGTAGGGATCACGTACAAGAGCGACGGGCACTTGTTAAACAACCCAGCTATGTTATGGGCGATCATCGGGTTCCCAAAAGGGGCCCCACTATCCCAAGATGTCAAGGTCGAAGGTTGGGCTGTGCAGATGGCCATAGATGCTACTGCAGAAGAGAAGAGGTCGATAGACGAGGAGGAGGAGCCGATTGAGCAGGCCCAGCTAGTCATGGAGAATCAGAAGCAGGATGCGGAGCGAAAGGAAAAGTTGCTGCACAATGGGGCCACCCTGATCAAAGAACTAAGGAATGGATGAAAGAGGAAACGGATCCCAAAATTACCCTCCTCTCTAAATTAGCCTTTCACTCCACCAATGAATCAGCCACCCAGAGGTTGATGTTTAACGAATTCAGACGTCAGGACAAAATGGCCTCCAAATGGAACGGTTTGGTAGGCCACATCATCGACTTAGAACATAAGACATGTGAGAAATATAATAGTCGAACTATCCGGTTTTGTTTTGGGAAGAGACCGTTGAAGAAGGATATGACAGGTGAGATGAAGGTGATGGTGATGACGATGGAGAAGGAGGAAGTGGTAAGGGGAGAAAAGGAGGAAAGGAGGAAGGAGGAGAAAAAAGGGACAAGATAAAAATAAAGCTGCCATGGGCTTATAAGGAAAGAAGGAAATTACAAGCAGTGCGAGTGGTCAATGAGAACATGCCTGTGCGCCAAAAAGATACCGTATGAGGGACATGTGTTGACAATACTCGTGCTTGGGGGAGGACGCTGCGAACTATGCTATTTCCCCCGCTGAGTAGGCGGGATGCGAACAAAGATATGGTCCACTATTCTCATATAACATATATTAACGCCTTCTTAAGTGCCATGTTCAATAGATTCAAAGTGAAGACCAGGGCCAGGAAACACAAGGTAAGGTCCTCAGCATAGAGAGAGGAAATTGGAAGAATGTTGCCGCCCTGAAGGTGTATATGGATGAATTGCTCCAGGTGCAGGACCGGAGCAGCCTCCCAACAAGTTCTTGATCATTTTACACCCGCACTGCCTGAGCCTCTCAAGTCCCAATTTTATGCTAAGTCTAGAGAAGAAGATTGGACCTACAAAGAGTTTAGCAAGCAAGCGTTAGAACAGGCTGAGTTTGTACATGAGGCAAACTTCCCCTACTATAGAGATATCTAGAAGGGGAAGAAGTGGAAGGGGGAGACTGTCTTTAGCAATATCTAGGCAGCAGATAGGTTCGTCATCGCATTTGAGGGAGGGGGAGTCGATCAGCTCCCCTACGACCAGATTGACTACGGGGAGAAAGTTCGAAGGAGAGGGAAGTTCAAGTAGCCTTGAGAGGGGACCATGCGACCGTTGTTCCCCATGGGGGAGGGCGTGGAGCAAGCCACCGTAGAGGAGGCTGTGGTCGAGGAGGCCGGGGACAAGCCGCACGGGGGTTTGGACGCAATTAGGGCTTCCAAGCGGGAGGAAGGGGCTATGGTACCTCGCAAGGTGACTGTGGTTTCCCCGCTTTCCAAGTGGAGGAGGGGGCGCTTTTGCCCTTGCCAACCAAGGAGATGTCCAGACCAGAGGTCCTCGTAAGGAACACCCCAATCCAGGGCGCGAAGAAGGTGAGCCCTAGAAGGCCATGAATATGCTAGAGGCCTTATGGTGGAAGAGAAGGGAAGAGGGAGTTTGTTTTAAGTGTGGGGACCCGAGCCATATCATCATCCCCTTCTGCTCTGATGTGAGACAACCGCCAAAAGGGAATGGTCAGCAGGAGTGGAAATTACTCCTACTGGCTGCAGACTTTGTTGGACAGGAAGAAAAGTGCGTTGAGAAGGAACCCTCCAAAGGTTGATGTAGGCCGCCACCTAGGTAGTTGTCCAAAGACTGCTTGTGTTAGGGTCTCTCTAGGTCCGAAGACTGCTTGTACGAGGGTCTCTCTAGGTGGAGCCCTTGCAGGCATCGGCGACGAACTGATCACTCGCCGCCAAGCCTTGGCTAAAATGAAAAAGAAGAGTAAAGGGCAACTTATTTTGGAAGATCTAGAAGTTAGTAACACACAAGTTGGCGCGATGATAGATAGTGGTTCAACCCGTAATTATATTAGTCGGAAGGGTTTGAAAAAGTTGTATCTCAGATTCATGGTGCTTAAATTGGACGAGCCGGTAGTGAGCACATTGGCAGACAATCATGACATGAGAGTGGATAAATAAGTTGTGGGGATCAAGGCATACTATCGGTTGGAGCGGGGGAACAAAGTAGAGAAAATGTTGCACTTCCCGACTCTTCTTGAGGAAGATAGCCTACCCTTTGACCTCCTGGTAGGGACGGATTGAGGTGAGGCCGCAAAGCCCGACGTGAAGATGGGCGAGCATGGGTGCTGGCTGCCCAGTCCCGCAAGTGGGAAGAAGAAGATGCTGTTTGTTTTATGAGTTAGGAGTCCAATGCACTCTATCCCTTTGTTGTATGAGTGCCCATGCATTCGCC